CAGAACTCAACAGTATTTATTAGTTTCGTTAGCTTTGCGCCTATTGTACACAGTTCTGTATTATGTGGCAAAAGTAATTTAATCTGAAATAAATTAAGTTTTATTCGAAATGTTATAATTATAGATTCTTTTTGCGTGTCTTTTTATTGTTGTTATCAACACCAGCCGCCTAGAACCAATTTATTAACCAAACAAACGTGTTTTGCATATCAATTAATTTTAAATTGCCTCGGCCAGACAAAGTGGAAGTTGATTTGGTAAATAAAGCCATCTAAGCCAAATTATGTTAAATGAAGTTACATTGGCTAAAAAAGTATTTTTTTCGCATAAGTTTTTGTTTAACTCTTTGGTTATATGTAAATTAAACTATTGTATAAGTAGCAATATTATTTACATATATACATTAAGACCGAAAAGTTTTCGGAAATTCTCATTTAAAATTCGCGCGCTGTATATTTTTCGATATTTTAAGTTTATGTAGTTTGGCAGCACTGTCCTTAATTACTATGCCAAAAATGAGCGCGATCTGTCAGACAGTTCGTTTACGGCAGCTGTTGAAACCAGTTCACCTCAGTAGTGCGTTGCGAAAAAAACAATGGAAAAAAATATTGAACAAAGAGTTTGCATCAAATTTTGTGTTTCGAACGAAATTTCGTGTGCAGAATCGTTGCGAATGCTACAAAAGGCTTATGGGGAATCAGTTTTATCGAAAACTCAAGTTTATGAGTGGTACAAAGCCTTTCAGGACGGTCGTACGACCGTCGAAGACATTTCGCAACGCACTACTGAGGTGAACTGGTTTCAACAGCTGCCGTAAACGAACTGTCTGACAGATCGCGCTCATTTTTGGCATAGTAATTAAGGACAGTGCTGCCAAACTACATAAACTTAAAATATCGAAAAATATACAGCGCGCGAATTTTAAATGAGAATTTCCGAAAACTTTTCAGTCTTAATGTACAACAAGTAGAACTGCAGTTAATGAAATATTGTTTTAACCAAAAACTGAACTAATTTAGTGATTGAAAGTTTAATTAATTTCAGTACTCTTTCTATTATTCCCACAGATAGAATATTTTTTTTCCATAAATTTATATTACAATGCTCTCAAAATATAATTAAAGACAAATTATATTTTTACAACATGACATAATATGTTATTATGTTAATAAAAACATATGTCAATTATGGCTTAACAATTTGATGACAATCGCCATATCTTTCAATGAAGAATAATTAATTAATTTTATTATATTATAACAGCAACTCTCTAGATGTGCTAAGATCTGATGGCTTATTGCATTTATATTACTTATAAATTATATATATTATTAAAGTAAAAATTGGAATTTTTAAAATAATTTTTCTGCAGATATGTAAAAATATTTTCTCCATACACTTTTTTGGTTAATTTCTTTTTTATTGGTTTAGTGCAGTTATCGAGCAATTTTTCACAATAAATTTGTACTTAATTGTTTTGCTGGCTTCTTTAGTGCACTTATCAAATAATTTTTTATTCATTTTTTCTCTTTTACTCATTTTTTCTTACTCCTTCCTTTCTATATTTCCTTTCTCAAGTCCTTCACTTTATTTAAATAGATCTATTTTTTTAGGTTTAAGTGTATGTAAAACAAACCCACTTTTTTAGGGAATCTAAAATTAGTGTACGAAATTTCTAAATTCAAAATATTTAATGAAAATAAAACAAAAGTAAATAAAATAAACAAAAATAATATTTAGAATATTACACAAAATAACATTTTAATGTTTTAAAAAAAAAATGGAATTAGAAATTGTGGAAATTAACGAAAATTAAACATAATTTAAATAATAAAAAATTTAAATAAAATAAAATAATAAAAAAAAAAGAAATGAAATACAATAAATAAATTTATTATTAAAATATTAATTTAAGATTGAAGATATCATTGGGTTTAAAATGTAAGCAAATTTCGTTAAATATTAAAAAACACAATATAAAATGACATTAAGTAAATAAAAAAATAAATAAAAAAAGAAATAAAAATATATCATAAAAAATTAATAAAAGACAAGATAGATATAAAAGAAAATAAATATAAAAAAATAAATATATAAGAAATAAATATAAAAGAAATAAATATAAATCCAATAATTATAAAAGAAATATATATAAAAGAAATAAATATAAAAGAAATAAATATAAAAAAAAATTAAAAATTCAAATAAAATAAGCAAAATAAGTTAAAATAAAATAATTTAAAATAATATATAATGATAAGGTAAAATAAAATAATATAATATCATATCGAATGAAAGAAAAAAATAAAATAAAACAAAATATCAGAATCTCCTAAATCAAATAATATAATATAAATAAATACCATCGGATCGCAATACTTTAAAATGTAAAAACTGTTATTAAATCAGACATTATAGTTTTTGAAAAGAATAAAAATGTAATTGATATTTTCCACACTGCAATACCACTCAGTAAAAGCATCCAGACCAGTAGTTAACCAAAGTTATCAAGTACATCCCTTTTGCAACAACACAATATGGACCAAGAGAGCATAGTTAATATTAGATTAATAATATCTGCAACTATATTGGTCCTAATAACAAGTCTTAAGTAGTTAGAAATGTCCACAAAGAAAAAAATTAAAAATGGAAACATTTTACGGGCTTAGATGTTGGATTAAGATCCTTGAACTTGAACTTTACTCTAGAGCAACGCTTGTGAAATTGTATCCGGAATGTATAACCTCATAAGCTAATAAAAAGACTAGGGCTATCAATCGCATGTAACGAGCTCGATAATCAAGTTAATCGTAGTCGGGGAAAGTAGCAACTAAAAGATTCATTTCGAGAAAATAGCACTTTACTCAAGATCGTGAATACTACTATCGTATTTAAATTCATTTTGCAAATAATTTTAGACAACTATATTGCAACAAATGAGAATGTCTATAAAAAACATAAAAAAAGAAGGATAAATGTTAATAAAGCTCAAAAAAAAAAAATCAAATAAAAAGACTTTAATGAGCCATATATGGAATCACAAAAATTAGAATTGTTTCAATATTGAATTTTAATTTATTATCCTATTGATTTAACAGGAATAAATACTGACACGTATTTAAACCGATAAATAATTTAAATATTCAAACATTTAAAGTGAATATTATATAATAAATGACAAATTAAAAGACCAAGAAATTACTTAATTCAAAAATTAATTTCTAATTACAAAATATTAAAAGACAAAGCCAATTTCTTCGTATCATGAAAATAAAGTATATATTTTTTCAAATAAATTTATAAACAAAACTTATAAAATTTATAAAATAATCAAATTTGAAATACATATATATATGTTTACGATTAACTTAATATGGTACAGAATATATAATAATTAAAGTTTGTCTTTTTTATAAAATTAAATATTTGTGAAATATTCGAGATAATAAGGAAATATATTTTAATTTTTAACAAAAGTTAAATATATGCAAATATATAAGTGTATATATAATAAATCAATAAAAAATAAATAAAAACAAAATAAATAATAAAAGAAAATGTTTATATAGCTGCATATATATATATTAGTTTGATAAAACCAAAAATTGCAACAAAATTAAAAGTAAAATTTTTATTAATAAAAAAAAATATAGATAAAAATTACAAATAGAATTTTAAAATTTTACTTAAAATGCTAAATTTTAAATTATTTTTGTATATTTTACAAATATTATATAATTTCTGTTTTAAATAGAAACAAAGTTCGTTAGTGTGACATAAAATATTTGTGTATAAATTAACTTTAAACAATATTAGTTAATTAATTTTAATTTTACTGATCTACGCCTTTGATAATATATACAATCGCTTTTATATAGCGACTTCCCTTTTCTAAGTTTGGTTTTTATTATATATTACAATTTCATTTTTAATTCTTAGAGTGTCATATATATTAAAGAAGATTATTAATAAATATAAAATAAAAATTGCAAAATAAAATTTGGAATGTTATCTAAAATAAAGCATAAATATATAAATATTGACATTTTTCAAAATTTTTGAAACATATTACAAAATATGAGTCTTTCATCTTAAAATTAATCATTAGTTTTCATAATAATAATCAAATTAAGAATATATAACTATATAAATCAATTACAGCAACACGCATTTACTTCTTTATAAATAAATATAAATTTTTAAAGAATTCGATAACTTAGTTATTATAAAATTAAGATATTATTTTTTTATATAAACTTTATTTAAAATCATTCAAAAGTATTTTATGTTTTCTGCATAAAAACAAGCTTTTTGGAGCTAATTAATTTCATTACGAATATAAATTAATATTATTCATTAAATATATGAATGTTGTAATAAAATAAGCATTTGTGCACTTATATCTAAACAAAAAAAATTAATAAAATTAAATTACAATAACTAAGCTGCAAATTCAAAAAAAAAAAAATTATTCTTTTAGTTTAGTTTATTAGCTTAGATTTCTCAGCCAATATTTTCTAAAATATAATTTTTATTAAAACTATATATGTATAAAGCATTAATTTAACATATTATAATTAAGCTTATTATTTTTACATTTTAGTTTTTTATTTATTTGTTTATTTGTATTATTTTATTTCTTATGTGTTTGTTTATGGTATTTTATTTTTTTTTTTATTATACTAATTTTCGTTTCGTTTATATTTTTACTTTATATTTAACTTGAAATCAAGATTTTAATTTTTGAAAATATGACAAAATTTTTAACTATATCAATATATTTTTACAACTAACTTTAAAAAAAATAATGAATTAAAAATAATTTTATATATATTTTCAATGCAAAATAACTTATTTTAAAGCGCTTGAGATTCTAATCTACTCAATTTATTTTTTTTTAATTCAATTTATTATTTTATTTTTATTTTAGTTTTGCAGTGTTTTGTGTTGCCATTCTAAAAATTATATATATTTTTTTTTTGCAACTTTTTTGAATAAATTTCTATTTCTTTTTGTTATAAAACTTTCTGTATCTCAAATATCTGTAATTTTATAAAACGATTCACTATAATTTTACTGTCTTCATCAGTTGCACAATATTTTGTCTTTTTATTTTCAATTTTAATTCACTTTCTATCTTAGACGGGTACAACGGGTACAACAGGTACAAAAATAACTAAATGCTACCCTAAAATTTCTTATTGGTTTTTTTCTATTTATTATCCTTTTCATTTCAATGCTCAATTCAATACTAATGCCGATACTTAACATTAATTGAATTCTATTTGTTTATTATAAATCTAAATAATGGACGACATCATTGTCATTAGCAGAATGATTAATGTTGCACTCCACTGCATATGCAGAGCTGTTGCTGAGTTTTTGTCAGTAACCCCAATACCAGCTAAAGCTGGCTTTTGATGTTTCATATTTTCTGGTACCTCATTCGAGACTTCATTACTATCGGGTGAATCATGTAAAGACTTCTCAAGTGAATCAGGACCAGAATGTGATTCACCAATATCCTTAACATGCACTACTGGTGGTTCATGCATCGGTGCTGGTTCGCCTGTACTTGTTGTAGTAGCATGTGTTGTTGTTGAAGTTGTAGAAGTCGTAGTGGTTGGTACTATGGTTCCATTCTTTTCCCAATACATAGGACTGTATTCCAATTTAACATCTTTCAAATATGATTTTTGTACCTATACGTAATAATATGAATATAATATTTTTTGTGTTATACATATTATATATTAAAAGCAACTAACCTCAGATGAGATCTTACGTGATACACTCTCCTCAATACCATGATAGAAGACATATAATTTTGCTGTATACGGTGCTCTTAAGTGTACATAATTACCACGTAATGTCACATTTAGTGCTGTACCCGGTAATAAATTTGTGTGTACAGATTTGGTTTCGAAACGTTTTTCAATGTGCTTCAGACCCCAATTTATTTCAGCTGGCACGTTAACATCTTTTTCAAAGATTTTTGTTGGCAAACCACGAGCAACACCCTCATGTAAACCCCAATTTTGCACATGATCAAACTGATATGACATAGCAGTCTCCACCAAACTATATTTGTCACCATTGTTAACAAGTACACTCGAAGCTGTAAAAATTTACAATTTATAGTAATGACTCAATATAATATATAATTTGTTTGACTTTATTAGTTAACATACCTAAATCAGTTATATTATCAGTCATATCCAAACGAATCTTATCCAATTTAATATCTCTTAATTCATAACGGAATGGTTCCGTCTCTACTAAAACATCGCCTTCTTCGTAATCCTTATCGCTTTCGTTTTCCACAACTTTTATTTTACCCAAACCAACCATTTCTAAACGTCCAAGATTGTAATCAGCTCCCCACTGTGCTGAACTCTCCGCATGATTTTGTTGTAGTGGTGCATGATGACGTGCAATGAATGTGCCTTCACCAATACTTATAGCCCCGATGGGTATACCAGCATTAAATTTACGCCAATGTTTCCAGGCAATTTTTCCCAAATGACCTTTATTGATCAATACATCAAACTTTTCATATTTCGTGTGTTTATAATGTGCAGCTACACAGACATGTGCTTGCATAATCTTTTCCGTATGACCGCTAGTGGGCGCACCATCGATTGTAACACGACAAACATAGATTGGATAGTGTTCATCTTCGGTTATATATTTACCACCTTCTACAGCATGTTGCAATTGCTTAGAGTCTTTGGAATCATATGTCACCCAGACTAGTGTGCTTGACGTAACCAGTTGACCAAATGAAGTGGAACCATTCTGATGTGTTAATACTGGATGAATTGCAGCCTTTGCCGGTGCAATTTGTATCAGGAAAATTGTTGCTAAAGGATAATATAAAAATCGAAGCAGATTGTGCGGTCGCTGATTTATAAAAGACATGCTGAATTTTTTTTATCAATAGTCTAGTTAATATATTTTTCCCTTGTCAGTAAAAGTAGATTGTAACCTAAAATAATACAGAGAGAAAACAAAAAAGAAATGAATTATTATATTTTATTTAACAAGTAGTGTACGTTACACTATGAAAATAAAAAAATTGTATATAATTAAGAATAGTAATTTATTAAATTTAAAATAAATTATTATTTTTTCAAACTAATATATTATTAAAACGAAAATATAAAGACTAAGTTCATTTCAGATGTAGAAAGACAAATAAATAAATAGAGATAATACTTAAAACCTTCTTTTAAGCAATTTAAACAATTTTTAATTACAATAAAAGTACTATAACTTTAATTTCACAAAATGTTTTTATTTTTATTGACAAAAAATCAATAGTAGTCTACATGGTGGACCCGGAGCGGAAAAATGATTTTCAAATACATAGATATGTTATAAATAAATTCTCCAATACTAAATATAGAAAAAGATTTATTAAACCACTAATGGACAGCAGCCTAGATGTAAATCTAGTAGATTCCATGAGTCGGTTACGACCCGACCTGATAATTATGAAGACCCAGTAACTGTTGAAGATTCCACTTATATGACACCTTATTATTCAGTCTATTATCAACATCTTATAGTTTCTTAAAGTGCATTTTGAATAGGAAAGCCATATTTTTGTAGAATTATGTATAATACTAGCTCACTTTAAGTTACTTATTCCCTCCCAATACAGAATACTAGTAATTTATTCACAGAAATATTATTTTAAAATTAATTTCAAAAGATATTGGTAAATCTTCATTATTAAGGAGTTTAAGAATGACTAGAATACTTTTTACAAACTCTTTTGGCTCCAAGGTGTACTATAAGTTTAGAATTGTTCACCTATTGTGTAAGTTCTGAATCTAAGCTTAATATTTTTATGTATATTTTGTTGCTTTGATTCACAACTACAACAATAAAAGTTTCAGATAACTTTTTGCGGATGGTTTCCAAAAGGTAATAATAGTTGATACAGTTATTACGCTGCAAAACGTTTAATCTTATAGTTCTATTACATCTGTAGACGGAATATGTGATATACATTGGCTAGCATTGTTTTTTATATATAATATATGGAATGATTGTTTTTTTGTAGAATTTCGTTTGTAAAGGTTAGTATTGAAAAAGGTTAGTGCAAATGACTTTCATTTGCACACTCCATTGGAAATATACCTAAAATCAACCTGGTACGGATTTTAGATTAGACAGAAATAAAAACTTAAAAATCAGATTGAAGTTAAAAAATTGAAAAAGGAAAATCACTCGTTTTCGGGTTACAAAAAAATATACAAACATATCATTTGAAGAGATTTTAAGATAAACTGGTGACAATCATATCAACATAAACCTTATGTTGAACATTTACTGGATTCTCATTAAAAAAAATAAGAACTTCTGCCAATTATTTCGTAAAACTCTAAACATATTATCTCAAATTGGATGACAACTATTTTAGGTTAAAAAACTTAACACGATTGGTGGGTAACGCGAAAGTTCAAATGTGGTTGAGTTCTCCAAGAACATAGTTATATTTATGCCTTTAAAGCTAGATACGAAATAAAGCCAAACTCTTATTCTTTACTCATGTTAACATTAATTTTTACAACTTATTTAAAATATTATTATTTGTAATACAATATATTCTTTTTATAAATATTATTGTAATTTATTCATGGTAAAGTTAAACCGGAAATGTCCGAAAGAGTTGATATAATTTTTTGAAAGGCTTATGTGAATGAAATAAAAAATTGTTTATTAGTTTATGTTTTTATATAGTTCATTTTTATATAAAGAGGACTAAACAGATTCCTTATTACAACGCAATAATAATAATACGTCACCCTGAGGGCGAAGTCAAACAAACTTCGAAACACCGGCAGTATTTATACAGAGGACTACATCAAAATAAAAAATAAAAACGAAATTAACAATATTATTATAAATGTTAAATTAAACATAACATATTCTAAAAAGAATAACTCATCTTTATTCCTTTCTTCAAATACGATTTTAATGACTTAAAAAAATCTCAATAACTAAAAACAATGAATACTATTGCTTTTATTTCCACTCGTCGTTCTTATTAATTTTTTAGCATTCCTGAAGATTGCAAAAACCTATTATTTTGAAATGCATATGGTCTTGACAATCAATGCGTTATGTCAATATATTTTTTTTATACAATTTATACACTTGAATACGACTGCCATACAATAAAGGAAAGTAATTTAATTTTCACTCCTTCAATTATCAATTTTACACTATGCAATTATAGTAACCAACAGTAGAGGTGTCTAACGAACACTTTTAAAGTGTGTATTCTCATAAGTGTAAATAGTGATAGGGACTTCCGTGAAGCTATAACGAAATGAAGCTACAACTAACTTCCACAAATACAACAAAAGCCACCGTTAAATGAAGCATTTTAGTAAGGTTCTTTATTTGTCCTAACATACCTTCATCAACTCCAATGCCAGGGTACATCATACAGTATACAAACTATTACTTGTAAGCAAAAGTGTATGTTTAACTTAAACACTTACACAGATAACATTTAGATATTTACAAAAAAAAAAAAGTACCTTAAAGTTTGTGCACTAAGAACCAATGAAAGTGGCAACAGACGTCTCTTACTAGAAACTTCTGGCTTCACTTTATGCTTTCACATTGTACGAGTATATGTACCATGCTCAAGTCTCAGATGCAGCCATCGCATAGGTAATGCAAACATTTTGCTCGGTCAATGACAAAGTACTCAACAAACAATATTTGTACAAAACACACTCACAGATATTGCACTTGAACCTGAAGTGGTTTCGATTTGTACTTATTCAGTACTTCGAACATAGTTGAAGCAGGGTAGTAGTAGTGGCATTATCCTAAAATCCCAAAGGAGCCAAAGACAAATTGAATATTGTTTGTTAAAGGACATTTTTTTAGTTTACTGTTGATGCATATAGCTTCTAAAATATTTTTAAAGTTAAGTGCTTTAACAAAATTTACAGAAATTTGGAATTTGGGAAAGTATAGTATCTGCACTAAAACTTTTCAAGTGATTTATCTTCAACAAATTTAGTTTATGTTGATCTTTGCTATTTTTGTACAATAGTTTATTTAATCAATCTTACAAAACTGCAAAGTAAGTTTGGTTAAAACTGCAATATTTAACAAAAACTTTTAAGTTCCATTAAAGTCGAAATATATCGGGTGTTTTTTTAACTGCATGATAACTTAAATTTATAATGCAAGGTAGAAATGTTGTTGGAATGAAATTTTTTATATTATAATCTGGTAGATAATTTCATGGCATTTATTAACACATTTCTGAATATGTTATCCGGCATATGACCAAACTACGAACTAAATGGTCTATTCGATCAATCCAATTTTTGACTAGTTTTTGCAACAAATGTGACCATATAGCATCACTGGCGTCAATGGTGGCATGAACATTGGCTTCCAATGTTTCAAGAGTTGTTGGTTTATCGACATAAATCAATGACTTAACATAGCCCCATAAAAAGTAATCGAAAGGCGTTAAATCGCATAAACGAGGGGGTCAGTTAACATGAACTCTTCTGAAAATAAAGACTAATATTAGAGTAATATTTCGTATTCTCTATGGTAGGCATAGTAACATGGTAACTGTTTATTCTTCTGATTTAATTACTTTTGTTAAGCAAAATTACTGCAAATGGGTTAATGTGATTATCCGACCTTTGATGGTATTTGATTGCAGTATGTCTTAACTTTTTTCAATACAGTACAGTAATAACTTTTTATTTTTACCAGTTTCTAATAAACCATGTTGCCAGAAGTAATAATCATAAAGTTTTGAATTGATATCTTTGTATAATCTAAGTATCTTTGCAATAATCATAAAGTTTAAAATTAATATCTTCGTATAATTTCAATATTTAAGTAACTAGCTGTCTACACTGGGCCACACAGGTTTCATTATGGTTTTATAAACAAGTGCTTTATTATCTACACTGAGCTCAGATAGATACCCACCCAAGTAGTAACCAGTAACATTTTTTGTTTAATAATTTATAATCATAAAATTTAATTATAAAATTAATTATATTTTGATCATAAATAATGTCACAATATAACAAAAAAGCTATGTAAATGACAATAAAAAAAAATACTCCATAATAATAATTACAACGCCATCTAAACTGATCCAAACTGTTCGATTTAAAAAAAAAACATAAATTTTTACCATTTTTATTAAAAAATGTATAAAAAATTTAAATTGATTTGAACTGCGGTTTTGAATTACGAGTATACTGCCCATTTCAAGCCAGCATAGTAGAAGTATTAAATATCTAACACTCCGTATATTTAGTAGCCCTCATTTCTAACACAATTTCTCATAAGACTAACATCAGTTGTAGTCTAATGTAAAATGTGAAATGCCAAATTTTATTATAGACTTAATTTAATTGAAGGGAATCTTTTATAATTAACTATTTAACATAACATTCCTAAAACATTGGACCAACTACAACTCAAGCTCACAAACAAAAAAAGAACAACTGCAACAGCAACTCTAAAATATTTTGGAAAGATTTATTACGACATCAAGTGAAAGGTCTGCGGGTGAAATGCTGCTTGTAACAACAATGTATTGTGATGTTTCTGATGCTGCTACAGATACAACAGCAACAGATACTCTGCTGCTCTGATACAGCCTGCTGCACTGATACTGCAGCTTGCAGCAATTGCTTTTACCAGCTTTGCAGTTTACCCATTGCTATGGAGCAAGCGAATAACCAATAGTGCCCACAACTGCAAGAGTATCGTTTCCTTGCATGATTGTGCATCTAATTGGCATTCATTGAACTCTGACACTCATCCACTGCCCAAATGCAGTACATAAATAAATTACTACATATAACGTGATCAATGTTGCCACTTAAAAAATTGTAAGTACTTAAAAGAAAAAATGTTCAATTGTTAGTCTTTAATATGCTTACAATTATTGCTCTTATGGTCACAATAAAAATA